TTAACGCTATCACTTTTAGGAATAGTATTGCCATTTAAAAGCAAAGGAGGGCAGTCGCTTCGCCTTAATGTAAATAAAACGTGTACGGATTTACTCACGTTTACTTTCATTTCCAGCAATCTAACCAAGTCTGTATCTTGTTCAATTCTCATCAGTAGCAATTAATACATTTTCAGTCTCAAAAAAAATATAAAATATAAATATAACTTTCAGTAAACTTAAAGGAATGCACGGTAGAACAAATACACTTCAACTTATATAGATTGGGTATATACTGAAGACATTTTAAGTGAAGACAAGACAGCTTAAATYGTTTTAGGCTTAAAAAATAACAAAAAATCATTTGTCTTACCCTTTGTAATTTTATTTCCACTAGGTCGTATTGTGAATGTTAAATAAGCTTTGTCCAGCCCATATTTGATATTCTTTCACTTGTTCGTAAAGAATCAAATGGATGTTGTCAACTATACAAAGTGACCATTGTTAATTTATTTAAATATATGGCATATACAATAAATTGTGATATTTTCAATTAGCTGTCAGAGAACCAGACAGACAAGCTGGCGAATGACACAACTGGAACATAGTGAAAAAATCCACGTCATCCGGCTAATGAACTTTTGTTTATTACTACTGAACAACTGAAGAAAATGTGTACCTTACATTCAAAATAAATAATTTGCGCAAATARCAACAAACATCAACATAAATCATTGACAACATCAAGAAGACTTTTTAAAATACGAAACATTTCCATGTGTTGTTAAAGCTACAATTCCTTCAAGAAATATTGCAAATACTAAAAATTTCATACTTTAAATATTTTGCAAAGCAAGTGGAAATTTGAAAGTTGTTAAAGGCAATCTAAAATCAGTTCATAGACTTAGACTATTRGACTAACTATTCATGAATGCATAAATTAAGTAAGTGAGTCAAAATCATACGGATATAATACATATGTATWTAGCTCTGATAGGTACTAACTCATATAGTTATGTACTCTACACTGCCTTGTTAGATTTTATTTATATTCCTAGCATTGTTTGCTTATTTAATCATATTTGTTGAAGTATAGAAGTTAAAATTGTATTTACATATATATTTCCTTTTTTGTGAAATTATCTTACAAGCTTATGTATGAAGCTATAAGAACACATGTGATGTAGAAAGTGAGAGTGACATCTTTGAGGAAAACTACATCTGTGTGAATCACAGAAATGATAAAGGATTACAGTTTATGAGAATTTCACAACTATTTAAACACATTGCAACAAAGTACTAAGTTCATATGGCTGCATAAGAGAACATATTTTCCATAACAATGCACTGAGTGTACCACGGACCCTTACATATTTTAATGTTGCTCTTGACCAACCAAGTCTACAATTGAGTGGTTTGTCTTTTGTCCTTGAAATAGATTTTTTAAAATATATAATAACAAAGGAAAATGTATGTCCTTCAATACACTTTATATGGTAAAAAATTATTCTGAACATATGTACATACATATCTACATATATCCTTAAGCTGTATGAGTCRAAACAATATGTATGTATTTTAATATATACCGAAAACTTTGATTTGGAGGATGGAGTCATGTGTAAAAGTTCACGCAAGTGAGGAAAATTCTCTGATCGCCATTCATTTGGGAGTGGCCAGAAACGATTTTTTTACATATGACTCAAGCAGCTCACGACTTCCGTCTTTCACCAAGTATCCTCTGGATAGCCTAAGGACATCC